GCCTGCGACGCGGCCCCGCCGCCGCCTCACGCCCGCGTGACGCCGCCCGCCCACGTGACGCGCCGAGGGCGGGAAGGAGGGGAGGGCGAGAGGCGTCACGAGACTTAGAGGGAAAAGGAGCGTCGAAAGATCAAAAACAACCTAAATAACCAAGAAGCGTCGAAGGGTAAATGCTGCCCGCAGAGCTGCCGCCTGGCGCGTGTGATTGGCGGAAAAATAAAAACAACCCCGGGAGGCCTGCATGTTGTTTTTTTTTTGCCCTCATTTTTTCTCTCTCTCGCCGCAAAACGGTCCCTTTTGGGCAACGCTCAGCGCAAACCTGCGGCGCCAGTTTCTGGTGGGAGAGCTGACATGAATAAACGAGGCTATAGCTTAGCAGTATGTTACTGACCGTTCCTAGTGTGCCCTGTTAAATACAAATATAAAACTCAGGTGCCTCTGTTGTTACTTTCTTTGTAGTCTGCAGCGAGCGCCTAGCTCGGCTGCAAAACCCGCCATGTGCTTTTAGCACCGGAAAAACAAGCAGAACCGTCCCTAATGTGCTGATTTAATCAGCCACGCCATTAGCTGAGCTCTCATAAAGAAGACGGGGGCGGGAAGGAGGAGGGGAGTCCCTGGCAAGTGGGGTGGGAAAGTCCTACGGCAATGCAGAAATCCAGTCAGGAACGGGAGAAGGAAAAGCCCTTGAGGGCTGAAAGCTGCGGGCAAATGGAGCGAGTGCAGCTGTGTGGGAAGGAACCGGCTCAAAACCTAAGCTTGGGACGGGACAGAGCTTCAGAAATGCAGGTTAAACAAACAAAAGCATTAGGCACTTGTGGAAGAAGACACAGAATCAATCAGGGGATTTACAATGTGAGGAAAATTACACTGTAAATGGAGAGACTCAACATTTTCCTGGTAATGCCTTTGACAAAGAGGAAATAAGTCTGATTTATGTTCTGAAAAATAGCCAGATTAAGTTGGTCTTGCTGTTTTTTTTTAAAAAAAAATCCTTAGCACCTTTTTGTTGTTGTTCTCCTGAAAAGCCGACTAACCTCAGACCTGGCTTCTGGAGCAGACCATTGATGCAGCCTTTTCTGGCCATCATCTGTTCCCCTCTGGCTTCCTGCCTCCTCCCGCAGCCCTGTGAGCTGGGCACACACAGTGCCAAAGCACAGCCCCTCAACCCACGGCCCCGGAGCCACTGCGGGAAAGGCAGCACAGCCCATGCACCCAGAAAAACAAGGCAGAAAACTCGAGGACAGACACTGCTATTCAAAAGCCTCTAAACTACATACACAAGAGTTCACCTCATTGACCGTTTCTGAAGGTGGTAGAAAGCTCTTCAGTAAGAGACAGGTTTTGGGGTTCTCCCCTCTCAGAAAATAGATCACATCAGTTTTTATTTGAAAGCAATCGTGACATAAACACACAGAGTTCCCTGCAAGCTTGTAAATATTCTCTAAGACTCCTAATCCCAGGTAGCTTTCTGTCAGCACTACCTCCCCATGCATTTTGTCCCCTGCGGCTTCATGGTATTGCAAGAGCTTACCCCTGGTGCTTGCTACTTCACATACCCTTAGCTTTGCTGGGGAGTCACACCCTTAATGCAAGCCAAATGTGTTGCAGTTGATCATATCTTAGAGCTGAGCTCTTGACAACTGAAGGAATTTTAATGCAGTTCTAGGAGATCTGCTAAATGCATTAAACAGTTGCAAAAATTGTAGACTCACCCTAAGAATAAGTGTTTTCCCCAAAATAGGCTTTGAAATAACATAGAGTGAATAGAAATTGACATGAAATAAAGACAATTTTCAATCATTTCTGATATGTGATAAGCTTAAACAGTAAGCTCAAATGAAGGCTTGTACCAGAACTGAAAATAAAATTTACAATATATGATCCTGCAAACTTTAGGTAATAGAAATTAGTTGATCCTAATGAAATGGGAACATTTCAGAGATGCCTAACCTCCCCCCTCCAGGAAGAAAAAAAAAAAAAAAAGAGAGAGAGAGAGAGAAAAGAGTGTAGATATAGATAGATGCACTGACATTCTCTACAGCTATAGTCATTAATCAAAACAGCCCCCCCTATGACAACTGCATCGTTCTGAAAATGCAATATCCAGGTTCATTACTCCAGCACAGAGCAATACAGCTGAAATAACCATTAACCACTGCAGACAGCAAAAAGTCTGGGGCACACGTGCAGACAAGAAAGATGCTGAAGGGGGTAGGCGGGGGAGGCAGGGGCAAAGGAGGGGAAGGAAACCAACAGCTTAACATATAGGGCAAGTGATAAGAAACAAGGAAGGAGTGTACAAGAACAAAGAGCAGAGAAGTCTTCAGTTGCCTGCTTTCCCTTTTTGAATGTAAGAAAAAGGATATTCTATGTATCTGAAAAGCAGGAAAGTCAAAGCTTGTATCTTCAGGTACACTTTATAACAGTAAGTTGTCCTTATGGGATTTTCTTTTTTTAAAGGAAACTACTTAATACTGGTAAAAAAAAAAAAAAAGACAAGTGTTTACCCAATTTAAATTACCATCTGATATTATTGCTTTTTGACAAAAAATAGTATGTCCTAAAATATAGTAATTAGGTAAGTGACAGATATGGGGGAAAGAAATTCTCTAGAAAGTCACTGAGGTTGAAAAATATTTTACTGATGGGTGTCTCTTCTACTTAACTCTGAAAACTGAAGAGGAAAAGAAAGTTTCACTTGTGAATTTAACGTTAGTATTTTTTCCTCCGTTCAGCACAGCCCCAGACTTGCCCTTTATTGAATTTCTCAGTATTCTGATATTACTTTTATCTGTAACAAGATATAGTTGCATGTACTATATGTATTATATGTAGTCCATGCACAGTACTGCATAGAGCAGTTGGAATGACAGAAAGGTCTCTAGCTTTCTCAGACGGAAAAATCCTTAAATGCACAACTATCCCACTGTGGTTATACAGCCCAACTTGCCAGAGGGAATATTTTGATTTCCCATTAAGTATGTCCACCAGGAGCAAAAACAAAGTGGAAAGAAGAGGCACTTATTCCTAAACAGATACCTGTATAACAAACCAAAGAATTTATCTATTCTTGTAGAATAGTACAAAGGTATATGTAAAAAATAACAACAACAAAGAAGAAGCTTACAGAGACTGTGTTTATAATGGACAGTAGTGGACAGGAAGAGCTTAAAAGCAACTCTAAAAAAGGTCTAGCAAAAGCAAATGAAAAATCTAGGAACAACCGAGGTTAATAATTTCTCTGTTATAACGTGAATTTGCCCAAGCAGAGATTTTCATTTCTCAGTTCCATAAATTTGTATGGGCTTTTCTAAATCCTTAGAACAACAAATCCTTTTATGTCTACCCTCAACTAGCCTTCCATACATAGTTTGTTTTAATGCAGAAAATTCAATAGTGGGTTTAAACAATTATGAGGTACTTAAATTCTTTATGTTTTTTCCCCCTCAAGACCAACTGCCTATGAAATTAGACCAATTTAAATTGTCACCACTGACTAGGCTTTATTGGGCTGGTCTTGGGCTCTTTTAAGAGACCTTGTTATCTTGCACTGGCTTAGAGCCATGTTCATACTGACAGTCAGAAGAGGCCGTCATGGAGACAACTCAGGTTACCACCATAAAAAGTCTCAACATTGGTCACAGCTTCCTTAATCTGCTTCATAAAGGTTACTTGGTGACAAGGTAGTTCCTATGGAGATGCTTTTATTGCAAATATTTCTAATAATCAGAACAGAAAAAAACCCACGCATAATTTACAGGAGATAAGGAATGCATACCATAATATGACCTTTAAAAAAAAAGGTCTCTGCTTTTTTCTTAAATATTAAACACAGAAGTCCATGCAGTAGACAAACCAGCAAAGTTTCAGTTGAAAACGATTCCCTCACTTTCATAAAATGAGCACCTCTCTCACACAAAACAATCCTCCTTTTCTCATGAAGCATCTGCATTGCCATTTGTAACAGGATTTTTGTGACTTGTCCATACTCTCGCCAATACATGGATTACACCATGTATTCACCCATACACTGGTCCTGTTGTTGTTTTAGATTCTGAAAATCCTGGCCCAAAGCCTCACCTGTTGCAGAGGCTCTGTGAAAGCCCTACCTGGATCTAACATGTATTTAAAGACAAAAGACATTTTCAATTATTTCTTATTTGTTCAGTACAATTACAGATTTCTTAATGTCTCCGTGCATTAACGATACTTTGCTTTTGAAATTTATTGGTGTTCTCCTTCTGCCCTTAGAAATAATGTCTGCCCTTAGTGCCTAAGTTCAGGTTCCTTTCATCAACTTTGGGAAATTTAGTGAGTTAAATTATTTGTTTTCAGTTAAATAATTGCCTAACAATTTCAACAGCAACAGGAGTTTTAGACCAAGCATAATAATATTACAGAAAAATGACATTACTAAGTGAGCAAACTACTCTCAGATAATCCTTTAAAAATATCATAATAAAAACATCAACAAAATGCCTTCTGTAAAAAAAAAAAAATCCTTGCAAAACTTTTCATTCTTGTTTTTAGCTTGACCGTGTCACCAAAGATACAGAAGATGGATCAGCTGGATGTCACTTGCAGTATCTATCAGCTTTTACTTTTGCTCTCCTATAAGGGAAGAGTAAAGAAACAAGGATTAAAACAGAAGATAAATACATTTGAGTATTTTACCTGTCTCAAAGTGTTATGGAGGCACTTAAAACTTTAAAGCATGTATTAAAACCTGGCAAGTCTCCCCTCCCCAAAATTCTGGTGCCATACATGTTCAAAATATTAAAAGTTAATTTAATTTTTATGGTTAAAATACATGTCTGCATTCTTCACAGTAAACAAAGTGAACAAACCTAGCTAAAGATGTCAACAAGAATTCATTTCTGGATAAATCCAAAGCTGGGAACTTCCAGAACAAAAACCAAAATGGTAGTAGTAGACCATAGATCAGAGAGGAAATTTACTGAAAACCCAGCTCCCTGTAGTTTTTAATTAGCACATTATTTTTTGTACTTTAAAATACCTGTCAAGCAGTGTTTCGTGAAAAGTGCCTTCCTTTCTGGCTTTTCTGAGCGCTTTTGTGTCTTCTTTGCTTATTTTGAGTTTTTTGTCTTGAAAACTTTGGAATTTCTTTCTATAAAAGGAAAGAAGTGTAAAAAGTAACTTCTCTGGAGTTTTGTGTTACAGTAAAACAGCAGCTGTAATGAGAATCTTAATGTCTTAATGAGTTGCAGGAGGCAGCTCACCTAATAAGCTCCAATCACGCTATCAAGCATTGCCCTAAGATTTCTATAGGTACAAACTACATAGGCATTTTTGGCATTCTAAGTGGGAATGACATGATGAACATGAAGCAATTAAAGGTTTAAAGAGTCGCTTCAACTGTTAGCATGACAAGTCAGTCCAACAAAAAAAAAAGGCAACTCAGCATGGGGAAGTCACAGGGACAGATGATTTTAGAATGCTGTATGTTTCAATTACATACACATAATTGATTTCACACTGTTTAACGTTTCCTTTGTCCTCTTCTGGGAAATCATCTTTTTTCTTAGCTTCTCTTTCAGCACAACTGCGAATCTGATCATTGAAAGACAAAACAGAAAATGCATATTAAAAAGCAACCAAATAACCAACCAGAAAACAGAAGACACAAGTTAAAGACAACACATTCTTTGTAACAGAATATAAGTCATAGTAACTTTGAAAGTTCTCAGATTTTCAATTTATGAGTTCGCAACTGAAGACAATTGTAACAAAAGCAGTAGCTCTAGCCTGCTGCATTGGGTGGAAGTGTTAAGTGTAGTCCTTGATACCACTCAGTCTCCTTTATGTCAAAAAAGCACCATTAAAATCAGAAAGTGTAAAATACATAAAAATTCCAGTAGAGATAGGAAAGTAATCTTAGTGCTCATTTGCCTTTTTTGAGGCCAAAATTCTAGACAGCTTATAGAACAGAATTACAACTGCATGCTGTAAACTGTAATAAACAGGGTAACTGTAGTAAACTAGGTAAGACTGAATATTTATTACAATCCTGCACTAACTGTATGCTTTTTACATAAATTCTATTACCTTTATCATTTCTTCTTCTCCTGCAGTTTTACTTTTGGCTTCTATGTCTCCTTCTTCATTACATCTAATAAAGCGGCTGTTTGCTGCTAGTAATGCCATTTTCTTCTGCATACATAATAACATATTGTTAACATAAAGACTTTGTATACAAATCTTGATTCATTACATTTATCCTCTACGAAATGTGAGAAAGCTCTGTAATAGTGTTCTGTTCTGCATTGATGCTATAACAGCTGGCTGACTGTATTACTGTCTCCTTTTTAAAGGAAAATAGTAAATACATGGTAGTTAGGAAAACAAAAAGTTAAGTTATAATAGCCTTGATATTTCAAAAGGCTTTTACTGCATGGACAAAGAACATTTTACAGACTCGTGACACAGACTTAACTCAAAATACATCTAAATGCCAGGAATATCAAAAGAAATATTCCAGCTTACATCTTGGAAGACAGGCTCCCATTGCTCTCTTGATCCTATAGCATCTGAACGTCCGACAACAAGTCCATCTGAATTTATACCCAGGTATTTGCCATAACCAGACTTCAGAGCAATCCTCAAAGAGAAAAATATGGGAGAACAATAATGTTTTGAATTAAAGCAATCCCTAATACCCAACATATAACAGATATGTTATCATTATGCAGCAATTTTGAAGAAACCACTGAACATGTTTTCACACCAGAAGCAAAGATGATAAAAATCAAAACTCATAGCCTTTTTTTTTTTTTTTTTTTTAAATATAATGCTTACCTTGTATCAGACAGCTTTACTGCTGTAAATTGCTCAGGAGGACTAGGGCCTTCATCATCTGAGGGATGAATTTTCTATTACTTAGGTATGAAATATTAAAATTCCATATTGTAACCTGTTAGCATGATGAAGTCTAAAACAGCACGACGAATTACACAGGTACATACTTATATACTATAGAAGACCACATTGCTAGTTTTTTTTTTTAATTCATTTTGAAGATACATGCTCAAAAAAGACAGGGAAAAAAAAAAGCAAACAAGTGCTTTATAATGTTCATGGAAATAGAGTGCTTGAAACAAGACAAAAAACAAAGACAGTCCTTCCTTCCTGAAATTTACAAGTGAAAACGTGCTATAATTCTCTAGACAGCTATTAGAACCTTAATCTCCCTATAATACTATTTTCTCATAACAAAATATATTATGGTTTAGCTCAAGTGACACAAATGACTACTCTGAAAACTGCTAGGCTCAAAACCAAATGAAATAACATTGCCATCTTTGCCTTGACCTCACTTTGAGAGCACACCTTGCTCTGGTTGGACTGATGGCTCAGATTCAAAATGTTAATTTTTTGGCCACTCCTGCATCCCACTTGAACAACATTAAAATAATTACAACAACACTTGACAGTAAGCCTTGAAATTCATCTAAATTGACTTTCACTCTTCAACCAACACCATAAATATAAGAATAAATAAAAGTTGTACTACTTTTAACTAATAAGTGATAAGGCTTTTAATGGATGATCATTTCTACAGCACTTCAGTGTACACACAGCAAGAAAATAACCTAGGATAGAGGAACCTGATTGGCAGTCACTAGTTTTAAATCGTCTCATGCTATAGCTAAGATTCAAGATATATTCGCTTACTGTCAATCTGTAAAACTGTTTGCCTTGAGGCCACTCAAATTTAACCAGAAGCTTTTACATCTTGCACTACGGAAACTGCCTTTCTTTCCCCTCAAACACATTTCCCCAGACAAACCTTTGTGTGGAGCTCCAAGCGTAAACAAGCCATTGTCAAGAGCATGGACATAGGCTCCCTTGCCCATTTCTATGGCAATAGTGCCTGTAATTTCACCGAAGTTACTGACAGCCCACCAGTTTCCTAAAAATGCAAAGAAAAAACAAAAAACAAAAACACTAAGTTAAGAGAATAATCACAAGTTTTGGCTGATCCGAGGGGCCCGCTTCCCCTCCCCACAAAGCAGCTTGGCCCAAAACCGCAGCAGGCCCAGCTGCCAGCGCCCGTTACAGTAACACACGGGGCGGACCCCACGCGCGGGGAAAGGCGCTCGCGGGGCGCAGGGGGCCCCAGCGCGGCCCTCACCGACCGCGTCGAGCTGCTCCTCCGCTTCTTCCTCGCGCCGCCTCTTCTTCTCCTTGTGCTTCTTCTTGCTGCAAGAAAGACAGAGGAACGTGAACGAGGGCCCGGGCGCCCGACGGAGCCGGAGGCCGCTCCCGCTCCCACCTTTTCTCCTTGGCGCCCTTGAGCACCAGCTTGGTGCGCTTCACACACGAATACTCCGCCATGGCGGCGCCGCTACGGAAGCCCCGCAACGGCAAACTTGGCTCGCGCACGCTCGCCCTGCCGGCGCCGCGCCCGCGCATGCGCCACGGGCGCTTCCCCCAGGGCGAGGCGGGAGCCGGGCGGGAAACAAGGACGGTTGAAAATCCCGCTTAAAATCACACTTAAAATGACACTTAAAATCACATCCCGCTGGTCCCTCTTCTCTCGGGACAGGTTTTCGTCTGTATCTAAAGCAGGGCTTAGGGGCAGCCGGGTGCTCGGGCGGAGGCTCGGCGGTGCCCTCCTCGCGGGTGCCGGATCCTCTGCCCCCAGCGCGTCCTCCCTGTCCTGCCGCTGCGGCCCTGCCCGGGCACGCGCAGCGCGGCCCCGAGCCAGGACGGCCGTTAGCAGCTTGCGTGAAGCCCCTTGTTTTTTCTCCACAAGAGTGCAAGGGGTTTGGTGCCCAAAAGCTTGTTGACTTTTTGTGCTTTCACTTGCTTGCTGAGTGAGAGGTCCCAGTGCAGTGAAAGCTCCTCTCACGCCTGCCCGTGGAGGGGACAGTGCTGGTTTGCTTCCCTGTCATCCCTGGCGTCCTAACTCATCCCTGCTTTCAAGCGCTTCATAGCCACATGCAGGAAGCTTCTAGAAGTGAAAGATGAAATTATCACGTATAGGTATGTCCAGAGCCTTAAAGTCACTGGAATTGCTGCCAGTGGATATAAATTGTGTAGCTTTCCTTAGTGAAGGATAGTAGAGCTTCTGGATGATCTCAGGCTTCTCTGCTGGTGCTTTTACCAACCCAGGACCCCTGTGTGTCTTTCAGCAAAATGCTTGGTGAGACATGTGTAATTCTTACCTATGTCCTTAACCTGAGTGCCTGCACACATACGGAACTGTGTTTGGGTGCTCCTATCTGCTGTGTGAAGTGAGAGGAACGATGTGTCCATAATGTTTCTGGGGAGCCTGTGGTGCATGTCGCAGCTCTGCTGAGGATACTGAGCGCCATGGAGGACGAGGCTGGGCAGAGGTGTGAAGCTTATCAGTAAAAGAGCTGCAGGGATCTCTCCAAGCTGCCGGCGGATGGGTATCCAGAGGGCTGCTGGTGTCCCTGGTGCTCTGCCTCCCTGCCCGAGCGCGTCTGCAGCGTGTCCATGAAAGCCAGGGCCTGCGGCGCGGAGAGCTCGAAGCGGGCTGGGGCACGGGGTGACTTCCATGACCTGCTGACCTGACAGTCCCCGGAACTTTTGGCTTTGTGATTAGGGCTTCCAGGAAGCGCGGGAAAAATATGGAAAGCAGAAAGGTGCAGGCTGTGATGGCGCCTTTGCTGACCAGCCCTGACCTCTGCATGGAGCTGAAATCAGGCAAGTGTCGTGCATTCATGTGCATATATATATATATATCATATGGAGGTGTTTGGACTTTATTTTGCTGTTTGTCCACCAGATGTTGCTATATCCACAAAAATAAGTGCAGATCAAGGAATTTGAAAAAAAGAATAGTAGTTTCATTTAATTACAGGTCTTGATCCTGAAAGACACACAGATGCTCACATTCTTGCATGAGGAATAGCCCCAGTGAATTCGGTTAAGCTACTCACTCTGTGTATAAATCTGGGCCATATCAATTATATTTGATATTTTTCCCATTATGAAGAGAAAGAAGGACAGAGTCACAGAAGGATAGAGAAACAATAAATTTCTAATCTTAAAATAAATTAAGCTTTTTTTTTTTTTCAGGCTCCCGTAATGTAAAATGTCTTCTTGCTAGTGAATATAATTGTATTTAAAATTCACATTTTAAACTTATTTTATTTTAGTGACACCAGCAGAAACCAGGCATCAGTGCATTGTATGCAAAAGACTGAGAAATCTTTTTCCACAGGCAAGGTGATGCCATCAATCAGAACACTGTATCTAAAATGGTATCATTTTAGAAAAGCTATTTAAACTCTAGTTTGCTAGTTAGTATTTTTGAAATTAAAACATTTCCAAAATGTGCTAGCTGTGATTGTTTAAAAAAATATAATGGCTCATTTTCTTTATAGCAATGGAAATAAATGGAGCCTTTGTGTTTGCAAATGTAAAAAACAAATCGCTTTTTTAATGACTGGATTTTGTTGCCAGCTCGGAATTTGCCGTATGTGCATTTTATTTTAAATGCCTAAAGAGTGAAATCATTTGCTGTCTCTCACACAGATGGGGCAGATTGGCTAAGGTGTCATTTGCAAAATGTGCACTTTTATCATTCAAGTTTGAAGAGGATCATTACAAACAATGTTTCCCAGAGACACTTTGGTCTGATGGAATCAGAGAGCGGAGGCTGTGTCCATGGATATAGCCTGGTGTCATAAAAATCTGGAGGAAAGACTGGACCAAAATTTGGAAGTTTGGCAGTTTATTCTTGTTTATTTATGTTAGGGAATACATAAATTTCTTGCAAACCAGAGAAACTTGAATTAGTTCTACTGTTAACAGAGTTGACAAATAGTTTATTCTTTTTTCTTTTTTTTTGCTTTCAGTTATAACTGTGGTGCCCTTGTGAAATATCTAAGCTGCTAACAGATATAACGGCCAAGACTGATATAGTTTTGTTTACTCATTTAATGAAAGAGGGAAATCTGATGTGAGCTAGAACCAGAGCAGCTACTTTTTACTATTTCTCCAATGGGCAAAATATGCATACTGGAACATTGCAGTGGTTTCTTGTTCATCAGTGTTGATACATCCCTGGGACATGATGATGTGCACTGCAGTTACACAGCAGATGTAAATAAAAAGCTGATTTCATTCTTGGCATTGAGATACTGGATGCTTAAAAAGATTTTATTATAAATTCTGAATTTTAAATGAGAGCCGGTATTAGTTATGATTTCTCAGCTTCTTCCACTTTGCATGATCACTTCTTCCCTTGCTGCCTTCCACTGTCACTCACTGAAGTTACTGTGGCTAAACTTTTAGAATCACAGATTCACAGAATCACTATGGTTGAAAAGACCTTCTACGTCATGCGTTTGTGGCCAGCCAGGCCTTCTCCATGCCTGCTTCTCTAGGCTGCTGCTCCTTCTGCAGTTTGGCACTTCAGGAGACACAGGGCAGTCACCAAAACCCATTCTGCATTTCTGTTGTATATGGAGGAAATGAAAAAAAAAAAAAGAAATTAATAGGTAACCTTTACTTTGCTTAGTCTCACACAAAGTCCAGCTCTACATGCTGTTTTCTTAGGCTCAGCTCTGTGATTTCTCCTCATCATTCAGAATGCCCCATCATGTCGACTTATCCCAAGGTCCAATTCCACTGAAGTGCTCTGTTTTTTTCCTGATTTGCTAAGGAACTTTGTATATGGATATGAATGCATTTGTTTTTGTCTCTCTACTAGCCTATATTTTCTTGTCAGTACTTTTTAACTGCTGGCCAGTTTCATTCAGACTTGCAGATGGGTAGAGATCTCAAACACAAGGTCTGAAACTGCTGTTAGGTATGCAGGAATGAGAAACCTGCAAGTTCCCTGACTGCAGGGAGGGCTGCAGTTTGAATTCCCGTTTTATTAGAGACAGGAGAGGACTTCATGCAGAAAGGAATCTGTGAGGAAAAACTCCTAGTAAATCATAGGACACTAATGAGTGAAAAATCCACCTGCATTACTTCTAGTGCCTCGGCACCAGTTTATTGCTATATACTGTAATTGCTGTTTTTACAGGATGGAAATTTGATTCTAGAAGTTTAGTATATTTGATTTTTTGGGACATTTTCTGACAAATAACTAGCATGTTTGGTGCAAATTTAGGTGAAAATCCCATACCTTATTTGTTAGTACTGTATTGCAAATGTGAACTTATATACAGATTTTAACGGGAATGGAAGTGTGTTCATAAGCAGGCATTTACCTCTCTGGCCCACAGCTTTATCTTCCCTCCCATGAGCTTCATTTCCCTTGTTAGATGTGGTTGAGTTTGTTCTCATTATGAATCTGCTGCTTTCATGAAGAAAAAAAATTAAGTGGGCAGTCTAGAATGAGCCCAGGTTTACAGTTTCATGTACATGCATCAAGTTGAATTTATATCCATTTTCTATCCAGTGATTATTTTTATCAAGTGTCTCAAAAACGGTTTCTTCTTTTTTATAGTTCTTCTGTGACTTAGTAGGAAATAAAGCAGGTGATTTTGCATGGCTCCAGATTAGCAACCTTAGCCTTCCCTGTAGAGAGGGAACCGTAGCTCCCGTTTCCCCAGTGTTCCTGTCTGCTCTCAATGAGATTCCTTCTCTTCCTGAGATTTGGCTGGGCCAAAATGGAATTGGGAAACAACCAGCCAGACTAGTCAGAATTCCTTTTTTTTTTCTAATCCTCCTCACACCTTTTTTTCCCCAGAGCATGTGACTATACTCTGGGCTATGTGTTTCTCTCTCTCCCTATGCCTTCTGAGATTATATAAATGTCCGTTATAATTTCACTGGGGATAGGATTTGGCAAGGCTTAAAAGGAGGATGGATCCTTGGCAGGGTGTTCATTTTCAGTGCTACTGTCCTCCCTGGCCATAAAACCGTACTTTTTCTTTGTAAATTATGTTTGTTCTCCCTCAGGATTGCCATATAATTTCCCTC